ATTGAATAATTACTTTGAGGGGTGAAAGGTTGTTTAGTTTAAGCGAAATGTTTTGAACTTTACGGGAGAGCCATTTAAAGTTTAAAACTTAGTAAAAATGTCATAAAAAAAAAATTGTTCAAATATTTGGCTGAAATGAACTTAATTGAATTTCAATTAAAAATATCTAACTCTTGATGCTAATACCAAGTAAAACGTACCGTTAATTACAATGATAAATGTGGGGTATTAAGCGAAATGTCACTTAAACCACCTTTCACCCATCGGCTTGATTTTGATGAAAATTCATATTTCTGCGTAATCGCTTCCTTCTTGCAACTTGCACCGCACACAAAGACGCTACCTCCTTGTACCAATAACATCTCACGTAAATACCATGGTCGCCTTGTTAACCTAAGAAGTTAACAAGGATCGGGTAGCACTTAGCCGAGGTCCGCTAACACAGTGGACAAAGCAGGGATTTGTTTACACCGCCTAGTTGCAGGTTAAGTGAGCTAATTGCATAGAATGCGGCGCGGAGCACCTGCCTTAGGCTCGCTTGATTATTTGTGTAGGCTCGCCCTTCATCGCTGAGTTCGATAAGTGTAGCGTATCTGAGTTTAGAGAGTGCAGAGCAAAATCGTTCCGTGAGGCTCTGAACATTGGAAATGTGAGCAGACGTTGCATATTTTAATACCAGTTGTAGCTGTTTCTGCCGCGAAGCTGTCTAACGTTCGACTTTAGAGGAACAGGCTTAGCTCTGCCCCCGGCATTGCTGAAGTCCATGGGCGACGGTAATCACTCACCGTCAAAGGAGCCATATACTCAACAGCCTACCAATAAAAAAAAATCACAAATTAATTAAATTAAAAATGAAAAAAAAAGACGATAATAAAGCAATAAAAAAGGCACCCGTCGACCTCACACCTCACGAAATTAGCAGGGACCTCACACCTCAAAGAATTGGCAAGGGAAAATCACTTTGTGATGGAAATGCACCCCAACAACTGTTTAACATCAGGTGGGTCGTGCGCTCCTTCTTATATCTACGTAGCAAAAACATAACAGAAAACCGAACCAATTTACTATGATTTTTATTAGAAGAGTTTTTTTTTAATATTAGTCAGTGAGGATATAAGAAATGCTGTTGTCAAATGTAAAAAAAAAAAAAAAAAACGATAAGACGTTCTATATTCCATATTCTATATTCAAATAACGTTACATCGTATTCGGAGCCTGAATTTAGGGTCTATTTATTCTTGTCTAGTATGTGTATTTTCTTATTCTTGTACGTGTGGCTTCAGCACGAATAACATTGGAGAAAATCTTAACTTGGGGCTTACGATACGAGTCACCAAATTTTCTTGAAATCTCTCGCGTACGTGTATGTCAGCTCTTAATTCAGATCGCATTTATGGCATAGTTCGTCCCGCATCTATAGCGGGACGAACCCGGTTCAAGAAACTTTGTCTTTGATGTTACAATAACCTTAACCACTTAACAACAGGTGTGGTCGGGAACTCGTGCACCCAGCTCTCATACAAAAAATGACATTGACAGATTGACGGAATTGAGTAAAAAATTTTGGTGTTAAGCTGTCAACAAAGTTGAATACCTCTATGAATATTTTAAAATGAACGAGTGAAGTAGATGCTGTAAAAATATTGAATGTAAATCCGTAAGGCGCAGTCTCACGGTTTTATAATCGTCAATTCTTAAATCAACGTATCTAATTAAAGTATGGTTGAGGTAATATAAATAAGTATTCGCGGAGTGAGTTACGATGCCACGGCGATTCTCGCTAATAAAATAAATGAAGAGTCAGTATTCGGTAAGCTGCGACCGGATTTTGATAGGAAAAAGGTGGGTAACATAGATAATGTTGAATTTTATTATTGTTTTACGTAATTCAAATTGTGTTTTAAAGCAGTTTTATGTTGGCACCGAAACTTAGAATCCAAAGTTTTTTGCTTTTATTCGATTTTTGTATTGCGTACAATTGTTCTGTTGTTTTTAGATCTATTTAAAAAAATAATAATTGGTAAGTCAAGATAAATGTATAGATCTGTTAAATTTGTAAAAACCAAAAAAAAATCTAAGCAGCAATAATTCATAATTCATATCCCCTTTATTTTTGTCAAGACGCACTTCTTAAGATTTGTTCAAGAACTGTAGAATAAAAAAAAAGAACTTCGTCGTGAAAGAAAAAAAATATCTATATTTAAGGTTGTACACATTTCACATGGTTAGCTCATAAAGAGTTCGGTGCGGCCCTCTCTCAAGAGGCAATTGANCAAAAAAAAATCTAAGCAGCAATAATTCATAATTCATATCCCCTTTATTTTTGTCAAGACGCACTTCTTAAGATTTGTTCAAGAACTGTAGAATAAAAAAAAAGAACTTCGTCGTGAAAGAAAAAAAATATCTATATTTAAGGTTGTACACATTTCACATGGTTAGCTCATAAAGAGTTCGGTGCGGCCCTCTCTCAAGAGGCAATTGATTAGTCGGCTTTCTTTGTGCGCTCGCGCCGACGCTCACAACAATTTGCTTGCGGCCCGACCGCCCTAATTTTAATGGCCTTATAAAATTTATATTTAATATATTTATCATATGTTGGATAATTATGGATATACCATTTCTCTTCACAATTGTTTCATTTGCATTATTGACTAAATTGGGAATACAACGATAAATGCGATTGCAAAGATGATGCGGCTATGGCATAGACTCATAGACACGACACAAATGTCGCTGGTCGCTTTGAGACATTCTTTCTTGCAGTATTCCTTGCTTCAGGTTATCTAGCATGTTTCAGCTGTGGAGTTAATAGTGGACTTACATCGTGTGTTTGTTATTGTTAACATAATATTGGTCGCAGATATATTGGTTTATACTTACATATATACCTGTATCCAAAATTTTGTACACCAAGATTGGACCACGAAGTAATCAAATATTTATAACAGTACAATTATTTTAAATTAGTCTTGATTCTTACAATAACAGGAAATAGGAAGGCTTACTGGGAATTAACGTGGATTTTTGTTTTTATAATCGTAGTATCCATGTTATCATCGACTTGAGTCGATTTGTTGTTTTGTTATCTTTGTACCTGTAGACCATTGGCCAAATATATTGTAACTTCGTTTTAAATAATGGGTGATAAACTAAAATACTAAAGACTGGTTGATTCGAAATATTTGTTATAGCTTAGATGGGTAAATCAACTCACAGCCTTACATTTCACAGTTCAGTAGTGGCCATTAGTTATAGACATCAGCATAGCCAAATGCATAGGCTAGCCGTTGCGTACTGCAGAGAATAGCTCTCAAACCTCGTTTTAAGATGGTAATGATTCATTGCTTTAGGAAGTGGAGATTAACTCTGCTCCTGTGGCGAGCAGTGCAGTAAAAATGAGATTATGTATCATTATCATTGACAGCCTGTTATAGTTCAGTGTTAGATATAGGCTTATCCCAAGGGAGGCCACGAGATTGGATCTTTCGTTTTTCGATCTGCATATATATTTCTTATACTCTTGCAGTTGATAGCTATCGATTGCCATTACTTCAGTTTTGTTTCCGTTTGAATAAATGTTCCTATCCTATCTTTATTTCTAATATCCTATCTATCAAATGAAGTTACTTGGAACTTCTACTATATTTGCACTAAATATTGACATTGTGGTCTCTACGTAACCACTTATTTTAGGTAGACCGTAAGAAGAAAACGGGCACACGCCACGTAAATTTGATATCATTTGAGACTTAAAATATCACATGAATAAAAAATAGTCTTGCGATGATAATCTTCATTCCCAGTACTTTTATTGAGGGAACTACGCGTAAATAGGTTTATTAAGACCTATTCATATTTTATTTCCGTTTTTAAGGACACAGGTATTATGGTGTAAATTGGATAAAGTAGGAAAACAAAAAAACAAAAATCCATTAAGCCGCACATTCGGAATAGAATAAAAAACGTTACGTCAGTCCGAAAATAGAAGCATTGAAATAGCATTGCGACAATGGCTAGGCTTTGTCACAATAGAATTCGTTAACGTGTTTATTTTAAACAAAAAATGTTAAATGTACTTTGAATGGAAGATTGCGTTATTTTTGCGGCTTCATGAGATTGTTTTCAATGAGCTAAGAGGAGACAATTTTTCATTGAATGAAACTTCATTGAGAGGAGATTTTGCACGTGCTTAGATGTCCGGACCTACCCCACGAGTGGGCGGCAATCGATGATCGTTGTGCTAACGCGGTGACGCGCATGCGTTCTGTCACTTGTAAAGTCAGGCACAGAAGTAAGTGTCAATTGAAAAAAAATCAAAATACCGGAAAAATATTCATAAATAGTTAATATTTTCATTTTATCCTTATGTAAAGTACATATACGAAGTATGCCTGTGTGTGCGTTGTTATTCATGGAAACAATGACAACAAATGATTTTGCTAAGATTTATTTATTTATTGCCCTTGTAGGCAGACAAGCTTACGGCCCACCTGATGGTGAGCATTTACCATCATCCATGAATGTCAACAATACTAGGGACAGGGCTAAGCCATTGCCTACCCTAAATATTAATAGAGATGTTGTGTTATTTTTTACCAAATATCTATTGTACTTAGACCAGCGAGATCTGGGCCATTTTTAAAGCCACAGTTTTTGAGGATAAGCGCACTGAAATTAGTTTAGGTGTTAGAATATGGTAGTATTTCATGGACAAGATGCCTTGAATGCTGCGAAGAAAACGAGTAATACCGCTGCAAGTATACCGACTGACTATTTTTCAATATGTTAAATTGTGTGATTTATTTTTACGCGTGTCATAAAATCTATACTGCCTACAACTTAAAGCTTAGAGTAAAGCTTATTTTATACTTATACTTACCGCCATAAAATAAAATGAAAAAAATTAAATGTTAAAAGACGTATTATATTTTATCTATACATGTTTTAAAAGCTTAGAAAGCGCTGACGAGCTTTCGTTCTCGATTATACTGCGGCCGGCTTCAGTTTTCTGTTGCCGCAGAACGGGCGTGTTGGAAAATAGCTTAGTGCTGCTATATTAACTATATTAGAAATACTTTAAGTCAAGTATACAAATAATTTACCTCAAACTTATTGTGAGACAAGGAAAATGTAAGTTTACAATTAAATTTAGATATTTTTTAGTATGCACGAACCCATTTGTAAAGTTGATATTCTTTGTGAGACGTTGTTTTTATACGGCCACTGAAAGCCGAATCTAAAGTCGAATTTACGGCTGATTTTCATCAAATTTTTTGAAAGTATTAAATAAGTGTGTATCTAATAATTACGTAGTACGTAATTACTGATGGATGGTAGTATAGAACTATAATACTACTACTAACCATTTTGGGACGACCAGGGCGTTATACCCATAAATTCTGATTCATAGCCTTAGATATTGTTATGGAATCAATGCTAAATTATGTTTTTAATTTTTTTATTGGCCAAAATTAATAGACGAGCTAATGGTGAAATCTATTTCTCATTAACAATTTTGAGACGACTTGGACAAGTACTTACAGATTCTTTTGATTAATATCTAGCGCTATTGGACGATACTAGTAGCAGCAACCAAAGCACAGGTCACTGCACTCGTCGAACTCACCGAAGAGTTCGACGTTAAGTTAAGCTTGTAATATCAGTACCCTGAGTTTCTCGTCGGTTCATTTTATTGGGTTGCATTTCGATATGACGGTAGATGCACTAGCTGCATTCTCCGTCACCGTCCACGAGCGAATTAACCCATAGACACAGCCCACTGAGTTTCTCGCCGGATCTTCTCAGTGGGTCGCGTTTCCGATCCGGTGGTAGATTCTGCGAACACTGCTCTTGCTAGGGTCATTGTTAGCATCACTCCGGTTTGAGCCCCGTGAGCTCATCTACTAGCTAAGGTTACGCTGAAATAGCCTCTCAAGTCTATTAGCTTAGGTAGGAAAAAAAAAGTCGCATTCGATGGTAAAAGCAGCTGCTTTCGGGCTGTTAGGCTTCGTCAGGGGGCATTTCGCGCAGTTGTTACCAAACCTCCTGCTCCCTCCGTCTAAGTTAAATGGCATTGTTTTTGAACCAACAATAATACTTTTATACTACAAAAATGCTTCAGGACGTAAAGCTGAAATCTTTCGTTGGTGTTTTACTTACTACTAATAAATTATATTACTGCCATTCAATGCGCAGTCCAATAATTTGTTGTACCTACAATCATGATATATGTCGGTGCGTGCTTAAACATTTTTTTGGTGATATGTGTAAACGATCCAAGGATTCACTCAGTGTTGAATGGTCGTACAGAGATATCACAACGTGAAGAAACGCACCTTGAAGTCGAAGTCTTATTTGTATCGTATAATGGCTGTCTTATTCTACAAAGCAAAACGCATGAAAGATTCGCTATAGAAATAGGCAAGACAGTAGTCGAGTAAGAAAGAGCCGGGTATGTGAGCTCACAAGCAGCAATACGCCCTGCAGTCGATGGCTAAGCAAATTCGTATATTTTACGGGTTAGATTTTTATTAGGTACATAATGTTTCATTCATATTTGAAAGAAAACGTGAGCATGCATTAATTTTTTTTTTATTGCTTAGATGGGTGGACGATTTCACAGCCCACCCGGTGTTAAGTGGTTACTGGAGCCCATAGCCAACTACAACGTAAATGCGCCACCCACCTTGAGATATAAGTTCTAAGATCTCAAGTATAGTTACAACGGCTACCCCACCCTTCGAACCGAAACGCATTACTGCTTTACGGCTGAAATAGGTGGTGTGTTGGTTGGTACCTACCCGTGTGGACTCACAAGAGGTCCTACCACCAGTAGAATATGGAAATTTATCAAAAATGCTACTTCTAATAAAGTATCATAGGAATTAGAAGAAGTTGCTCGAGAAAACTGGCCTTATATACGCGCTGATTCATTAATAGTCTTGTAGATTCCTGTCATTGGGATCCTTTAACGTAAAATCACGTATACTTTTTTTTCATGAGCGCTCAATATCCAAGCAATTTTGGCACATAAGCGAGATCCCATTAATAATGCAGTTTTGATCCACTTGGCTTGAATAGCTGGCTTATTGCCAAATGCTATCGATTGCTGTTGTCAGCAATCTACAATTGATTAAAATGGTTGTTGTTATGTTGGAGTGAAGCACGTTAAGTTATTGATGAATAACTCAATTGTATTTTGATTTAATATTTTATTGTCTTGTACGGCTTGGTGATCAGCTTCGTTTGTTGACGTCAGCAATGTGTAAGATATAATCAAGCCGATGCATTTAAAGTGTCAGATTTTTTCAACCACGGACACATATGTTAGTGTTGTTTATAAATTAGGTATATCTATTATATAATGATAAGCAAGGTCGTTTCGCTAATGAAATAATCGATGAATGACGACTGTCGTATGAAGTTCATGGTGAAGGTCGACCTGCATAGTAAATTTCAAGGTTAAAGGGTTAATTAGAATTGAACACATACACAGATATGTGAATTTTTTTGATTAAAAACTTATATAATCGTATTGTCGTGACTGTTATGTTGTCTTGAAATTGTGGGATTATGTTATACATGATAATGGTATCATAAGGCTGTCTACAACACGTATTTTTATTATTATGCTTTGGTAAGCTTTCACTATAATGCTGTCTCGTGAATTCAGCATTGCCAAAAATAAGGGTAAAGACTAAATACTAAAAGTTTTGTTTGGTTTAATTCATTTTAAATGTTTTTGAAACGAAGTTCCTTATCGGATGATGCGGAGGGGTACCCAAACCGGGAAAAAACGTCCGTAACGTAAGATTTTTATTAGTAATGCACACACACAGTGTACGATTTAGCTTTGTAATAACGTACAAAAAATAACATATTTTTTTAACATTCATTGACCACGATCTCAGAGCGCTCGTTTGCGCAATACACTAACTCTTATGCAAACAACCGTGAATGAAGTGTACCACAATAAGTTCGCATGCTACTGAATTACCGTGGGTTGTTGCGAAGCCTCCAGTTTTACTTTCCTTATACCTCGAATAGAACTTAAAATTAATATTTTTATAATAAGGAACTTCGTCCCTATCCGGTGTCTCACGACACCACACAACTTTTTTCTTTGTATTTTTCAATAACAATTTATCGAAGGGCAATTTATCAATGTTTAAAATGTTGTACTACATAGATTTTTTTATGTCTACATTAGGGCAGCAGAAGGTGGTAATCCAGGTGGTCTGGCGCCAGCAGAGCCCCAGACAGGTCCGGATGGAGAGATTATTGGAGGACCTCGTACACCTCAGCAGATTGCTGCTCAGAGGAGGCTTCAGCAGACACAAGCACAAGTTGATGAGGTGAAGGGTTTTTTACGTTGTACATTCGTAATTTTGAATCTTATCCTATTGCTTTGAATATGTGTTTTTGTTTATGATTTTTTTTTTATGAAACAGGTGGTGGATATTATGAAGTCGAATGTAGATAAAGTTTTGGACAGGGATGCGAAGTTGTCAGAATTGGACTACAGGGCAGGTAAATACTGATAAGGTTTTCGATTAATTATCTCGTCTAGTGATTGGTGATTATTACAACAAGGGATCGAGAATTGCACTAAGTATTTGAGTTATTTGGGTATTCCGGGCATCATCTTGAAGAAAAAAAACAAATTTTGCATAAAAAAAATCATTTCATGCATTTATAATACTTAAATCGGAACGAAATGTATTTATAAATTGAATAGTGTAATAATAGAATTGAATAAAGATAATTAAATACAAGAAGAATAATAATAAATGAATGGAATAGTATATAAATCGAATAATTATAAATTGACTACGATATGAACAGCATATAGAATGTATTGTAATTGAATTGTAATTGAAATTTGTAATAAATTTAGTGTTAATTTTCAGATGCTCTTCAAGAAGGGGCATCGCAGTTTGAGAGACAAGCTAAGAGTCTGAAAAACAAATTTTGGTTACAGAATCTAAAGGTACTGGAATTAATTTTGTAATCGTCGATTATTTTTTAATTATTTTTTAGCTTAGATGGTAGGGCTCACAGCCCACCTGGTGTTAAGTGGTAACCGGGAACCATAGACATCCACAACATAAAAGCCTCCACCCACCTCGAAATATGAGTTCACTATACTGAGACCTTAAAACTCATATCTCAAAGGGTGGCGGCATTTACGTTGTAGATGTTTATGGGCTCCAATAACCACACACCAGGTGGGTTGTAAGCTTGTCTATCCATCTAAGCAATAAAACAATAAATAAATAAAAAAGTTCTAAGATCTCAGTTTTTACAGTACAACGGCTGCCCCAAGTTTCAAACCGAAACGCATTACTGCGTCACGGCAGAAATAGGCTATTTGACTGTTTCAGCTAACCAATATTATAGTGAACTTATGGTTGACACTTTTCAACTGATACATATCTATCTTTCTTTCTAAACTCATAAAATAAAATGAAAAAAGCATAAATTTCTGTTTTTCAGATGATAATAATAATGGGTGTGATTGGTGTTATAATCATAGGGCTACTGTTCGGTAAGTAATTATTATATTATTAAGTAAGTAAAAGTCTGATCGATGTTGTTGAATGAACAAGGCTTCGAAGTATAAGAGTTACAAGAATATGCAGCGATACGAGAACAGTTAAAGACGGAAAACAAACAAATTTATATTTGTTTATATAAAATAATTCTTCCAAATCTTAAGACATAAACACATGGATATAATGATTGAACAGTTTACTTACGGGTTTATTTAATTGATTTTATTAATTTTTGTGATTAATTAGGGAAAAATACCAATTTGTCATATTTTGAGGGTAGTATGACAAAACTTTCTTTATATTGCTATTAATAAATATACATAAATAATAAATATACAGTTTTAACGCGATCCAATAAAAAACCAACAAATAAAATACGTACAAACAAAAAAAAGGATTGTTACAAAAATTATACATATATCAGAACGATAACGTCGGAAGTACACATTTTATGAAAGTAATGTTTTATCTTATCGCATATTAACACAAAGGCCATGATTCTTTGAAACCCGAACCGATAAAATCGATATAATGGGTTTCAGTGAATTATGATGTTGAAAAATGGATGTTGCACTACTGATTTCTTAAGCGTCTTGGCACATACCGTTTGTTTGTTTGTGTCATTTAATTATTATTTTATTGATTTTTAAATTAGTGTCGGATACAATAGTTTTATATTTTAAAGGCCGTAAAATAATAAGCATTGACACTAATAAAACTGTGAAAATATCTTTAAATATAAATCTTTAAGAATAAAATAATCTTTAAGGAAAAAAAGACTAATAAAATTCAGATTGGTCACCTTATATTTGCACCAGTAGCAATTGGTCATCTTATATTTGTTTTAAAACAAATTAAATAATTGTTGGTTTCGTCTTTAACTGTGTTTGTAAAAAGTGTACAAAATTTAATGTGGCTATCTAGTTTTGCATCCCAGAAACTCTTTGCGCTGCTATTAGGATGTCTGTTTAGTAACCTAAAGTGTACCCTCTATTAACTATTCTGTGCTGTTTAGAAGCTCTTCTGAATTCGAATTGAGTATTTGCTTTTGCTTCTAGAATAGGTCACGATAAGTTGTGGTTTTCAGTGCAAATAAATTAGACGAAAAAAGAAAAAAAAAAGAAAAAATAAAATTACAAAATAATTGTACATCATTGCTATCTATAAATGTTGAATAAATGATTTTTGTTTTTTTTTTTTTGTTTTTAATATTGACACAGAAAACGTGTGTCACTATCTAATGATATCAACCGAGCAAAAATAACAGTTTTCTTAAGTCGAGTTCAAAATAAAAAATTGAGGCTCGTCACAGCTGTTAACAAAAAGCATTTCTAATTAGTTCGATACCGAGGTACTGGTTCGTCTTCGGAGGTAACTCCGACGGCCCCGGCTGTCGTGGATGCCAATAATACTGTCGCAGCTGGCACTAAACACTGTGAGTATTTTCCTTCCGGACTAAATCATTGAACGGATCTATCACTGACAAACATAATAACAAACGGGTAGGCTGACTTCTACGGTGAAGGAATAAGGTCGTGTAATAAAAATCAACCCCGCAAAATTATAATTTGCGTAATTACTGGTGGTAGGACTTCTTGTGAGTCCGCACGGGTAGGTACCACCACCGCCTATTTCTGCCGTGAAGCAGTAATGCGTTTCGGTTTGAAAGGCGGGGCAGCGGTTGTAATGTTGTTGTTGTGTGCAGCCGTTGTCTCCATTACCTTGTAGATGTCTATGAGCTCCGATAACCACTTAACATCAGGGGCACCGTGAGCTCTACGCATCTAAGCAATAAAAAAAATTTGATCAAAGAGCATAAGAATTATTATAACATATTATTTTTAATCAATATCTTCTGAATTTTATTATCATTACCAAATTTAATTTTCTCTATGTACCGCAACACGACTTCACTGTCTTCAGTGCATACAGCCTATTTATAAGGATAGCAGTACCAAGCCATTAAACTGCAATGTTTATCGTTTTTATGGAATTCAAAATCCGAATATGTCGATGAAATTATTTATTATGGAAAATTATACGAACCAAATACAATTTTATAGAGTGATAAAAAGAAAACAATACGTACCTATATATACATCGGTTTGTTTCAATTGAATGCTCCGAATATTTTACTGATTCTTTTCATCGATTAACAAACTTAAGATAATTTCTGATAGATCCGTTCGTATGATGATGAAGTCCTTATTTCCTTCTTGTGCATGACGCTTCTAGCTATCAAGCATGACTATTATTAGAAATCTTCACTTTCAAACAAAAAGTAGGGACATATTATACATTTGACATGTCCTTCTTTAAAAGAGGCTTGTGGAGAGTATTAAGCGGTAGGCAGCGGCTTGGCTCTGCCCCTGGCATTGCTGAAGGTCATGGGCGACGGTAACCACTCACCATCAGGTGGGCCGTATACTCGTCTGCCTACAAGGGCAATAAATAAATAAAAAATATTTTTTCTCATGGTAACAGAGAGTTGATAACCGGTTAATAACGTATTAAATTTCATTCGTATTTGACGCATTGTGATTTCTCAGCAGCATGTATCACATCATTTGGAGAGGCCTATGTTCGGCAGTGGACAGTAGACAGGCTGAGATGATGATAACGATGATGATGATGATGATGATATCACCACACCCGTCTATTTCGGTCGCAAACGAGTAATGGACAGTTTCAAGTTTCAAGGTTACAGTTTCAAGTGTGGCACAGCTTTATACATGTGAGACTTCAACGTAGTGTTTTCAGATGGACAGCTGTCACATGAAGTTCCTGGAATCTAGTAAAAATTTAGCATGTGGTCCGTGTGTTAGTCTACCTAATTAGAGCCTCGAAAATGTATTTGTATTAATAATAATATTCAGTTTTATGAGAATCTTTTTATTCAAGTTATATTCAGTAAGGTTATTAAAAAAAATTATCAGGGAATCCGATCTTAATACAAGTACACAAACAAAAATTAACACATATCATAAATTTACTTACATATAATTCGACATTAATCCGAAAATTAAAATTTTATCCATATTAAAAGTTTATTTGGGTAAACACGGTGCAAAAGGGGATTTCAAAATATTCGATTTAACTAAGTTCATATATATTATCTTTATTGCTTTCATATTTGCTAAATATTATATCATGTTCGTATGATTTTTTGTAGTCAAGTGTATATTGTGTACTGATTTCTTTAATACAAATATTTAACTTAATTTCATAAATCAACATTTATTCTACCCACAAAACTGACTAACAAACACATTTATAACATTTATTCCAGAAGGTCTTCGTCTTCAAGAAAGCTCAATGTTAAGTTTATGTTTTCATTACAGGAAAGTACATGTAATGACTTATTCATCGCATCTTTTGGGTTCCACTTCAAATGGGAAGCAGTCATCAATGCAATTATTATTTAAAAAAATATGATTATATATGCGTTAACCAAGGAAAGGTCTATTAAAATTTGATGTAAAAATGATAAGAATGTATGTTTGATAAACATTTTAAAAGGAATGTATCACAATTTTATTCCAGGAGTGCTCTATAAACAACGATTACAAACAGTTGCTAATGCTGTAATATCTTAACTAGTTTTGAAGAGTCTGTCAAAATTTTGACTGTCATTTGCAATTAAAAACGTGCGAAGTAGATTGAAGCTATAATTTGTTTATCATACTGTAGAAAATTTGTCTAAATATATCTTCTTTGAGAACACAGAACCGAAACAAAACGGATTCGTATTTACTTTATACAACAACAAAAAAAAAACACGCATACAAGAAGCCAGATAGAATTTAAAAACTTAAACGATAATGTGATGAAAACGATCTTCCAAATGTAGTGGAATCTGTGCGATACAATATTGTAGACGTTGTAACTATTAATGATATAAAGAATACAGGTTCGTATATAAAACCTGAAATTGTTTTGTGTAGCTTTATCTACCCTTATAATGTACTCAAATTTTTAATAGTTAAACACCAAAATTAACAGCGAAGGTAAATTATAATTAAGTAGTACCACACCCAGGTGTTATTGAAAATAGACATAGGGAAATATCTGAAAGCCATGTTACCGGAAAATGTGATTTTGTTTGCTTAGAAAAAAGTTAAGTGGAAGGAGAGAGAAATTTATCCAGTTAAACAACTTTTAAGGTATAATGGTTGTAGAACTCAAATTTCTGATTACAATTTATATTTCTCGATAAATTGAAACGTTAAGGCCTAAGCGCAACTTGGATGTTCCTTTACAATTAGTATATTAAGCACAGTCTTTTATTTCCTTACAAACTCTATAGTGCTCTTAACACAATAAAGCATGAGGATTGAACAACTTTGTGAATTGTTTAAGTGAGTAATTTAAATGAAATGAAATATACCCAGGCCTTAAGGAATGTTTATGAAATTGTATCTCAAACTTAGACGGAATGTTGCTAAAATTGTAACTGATATTTCATACCTGGGTGGGGTAAATGCCCCAATGAAGGCAAGGTTTAATTATCAAAACAAGAAACTTACGTCTCCTGTTGAAGGTTTTAGTGCATTGATTTAAAAATTAGTGCTTTTATTGTAGTAGGTGTTGAAATATATTTAAATGTAAGAACAATTTTTGGCGGAAACTTATTTTGTATTCAGAGTTTAAAAGCTGTCATACTTTTAGCGTCTTAACAAGTCAATTGCAACTGTGCAAAAAATTTATGATTTTGCTAAAATATAGTCAATTATCTATAATAATATATGGAATATATCTTCGATCTTAATAGGTGCTTACGTATCTACAAAATAAAATGTCTTAGTATTTTTTTAGGTTTTACAAATAACAGAAGTGAATGAAATAACTTTACAGTTTGCTGTCATCTGAATTTTACCTATTTACAGTAAAATTTAAAAGATCGAGTAAAACGAATGATTTTTTCTTAACAAAACTCACTGTATTACTTTCTGTTTTGGTAACATGAAATGTCTCGGTTACAAAAATGCTTGAAAAATTTGTCGCAACATTTCAATACTTAACAAAAAAACATTTTCTGATACTATTTCGTACATATGAACCGTAAACCGTAAAGTTTTAAGGATCTCGAATATTTTATTGACTAAGAATACAAATTGGTGCCATTGACAATATTAGTTTGTTATTTAAAACGTGTGTGATACTTGATAATTATTCGAATTTCAAGGGTCGAAACATTTAAAATGTGCGTTCTCAAAGCTGGCATTCTGTAAATGAACGTTCATGATTACCTTAAACCAAACTTTCGTTCTATTTGTTGTCACTCAAAGGTAAAATAAAATAAAAAAAGTGCACGCGTACAAAGTACACATGTCAGAAGTGAAACTTTTTTGGCGAACTAATTTATAAGTCTTGCTTATATTTATACAAATCTAAAAGGAAAAAGGAAGTTAAGTTCCCGCCAAAAGTCTGTCAAATGTCAATCTCAAACCTCAGTGTTGACAGTCACATTATGTTTAGATTTCTAAATTGTAAATGACTAATATTTTGCCAATTGAATTGACTAATTTAATTTCATGCTATTTGATTAATGTTCCAAATTCTTTTCATTTCATTTCAATTCCTGTTAACATTTTTCACAAAAAAAATTTATAAAATATTAGGCTGTATAGTATGATACATTTGCCTTTCCAGTTGGAAAAATACAACAACTAATACTACTGACATTTGACAAGTACTTAATTTCAATAGTAGTTTGATGCAGCGCTGTCAGATGTACCATTTAAATAGTATTTGTACGACTATTTCAAAATTTTTTCCTTGTACAATCGCAATACGAAAGTCGTACGGCTAAAATGCTACTTTTTAAAACCTAGCTGTCTTATATTTAAATGTATAAAAATTCTAGTTTATACTATATTTGGAAACATTTACAGTAACAGTATATAGTTAACAACATACAGTTAGAGAACGAACGAACTCGCTTCGTCAACATCTAAGTCTATGGTCTACATAAATGCTTATGTTCACTTGGTAGTCTGTGGAAGGATGATATTTTATATTTGGTTGGAGACTTTTTGCGATATGATTTAAATGACCCTATTTTATCAAAATTGCAATGCTTACTGCCCACAAATGCAGTACCTATCTAACTCATACAGAAATAAGATCCCATCCCTACAGCCTTTGATGATATTGGTCCCTCGAATTGTAGGCAATGAGAATGAGATGCAAAAAATTGATAAAGAATGGCGAATTCTGCCAAATACAATAAATAAAAAGATTAATTTGACAACAAGCCCTGATAACTTTTGGGGCGATGTTAATAGACATTTTGAAAAGTATAAGTCGATATTCCAATTTTCACTAAAATTAGAAATAGTTTATCCAATGAAAGTATCAATGGTACCTTGCTGGCCAAACAACATGTTTTAAATGAAGCAGGTAAATGTGCTAATTTTAAACCAAGTAAAGAAATGATGGCTAAAATGACAAGCAATGTATTGTATAAAAAGCATATGTAATTATGTATAGTAAAAAATATTTTTGATGTGTACTATTATTTTTATTCAAAACTACGAAATGTACTACTTTTTTAAAGGTGGTATACTATTATCTTAATTTTACATCTGACAGCCCTGGTTTGATGTCACTTTCGTTGCATACCTGCGTGACGTTCTGTAAAAATTTTACCCTCATGCGCCTAAAGAAGTTTCACTTCAATAATAAAATCAGATAAAAGATAAAAGGACGATGTTGCTCTCTCTATAGTGACTTGTCTTCATCTTTTAAACATCTATTACGTTTGTTACTATCGAAAAATGAAAATTTTAAATAGGCATGTCACAGTTTATTTTGTATAATAAATAAAAACAGCGCCCTCGTCTAGTTTTCTCTTCACGAGAATTCCGCTAACAGATGCTCAGACATGCTCAGAGTTGATGCTTATAGTCGAATGTTAATTTCAGACGAATGCTTGTCGCGAAGACGAAACTTAATCTACTTTAAATTAAATTATAACGTGTATGTACATTATCTGTATTGTTTGATTCTTATTAAAAGTTTTAAAATTTAAAAGTATTTAATGTCATTTTGGAATTCTGGATTCGTGAATAAAACTATCGTTCTTCTGATTAAAGTAAAATTTATTGATTCGTTTTCAATAATGTGTCACTTACATAAGGTTCCCTGATTAGGGTTTCATGTTAGGAATGTCTACGTTTAGCCATTTAAATGGAGACATCCTACAAAAATATTCTACAGTACAAGGGAATACCATGACGGTGACAGTGAAATTATTACGAATTTATGGACTCATATACTTTAACATGTAACTTCATAGTTTCACAACTGATAGAGGACTTTTTAGTACTAGTCAAGAAAAATGTATGCCTACAAGTTTAACAGATACAGAGGCAGTGTTATTAGCTCGCATCAATAAATACCAACTTTTTACTGTTTTACGCCCAAAGTACTTGGAAATTTACTAATGTCACATACAATTACAATTATACTTATACTATATACTTACAATTATAACGATATAACAGTGAGCTCGCCCACATTTTAAATCTAGTTAATCGTAAGTCTCTTAAAATAAATCAACAAAAATTTGTCTGAAAAATAACATTATACGAAACAAATATTTTTTCACTAATCAAAATCATGTTGTTCTGAAGTTTAAATCAGTAGAGCCTGGCTTTAATGCTGTGCGTATAATCAAATAAATTATAATAATGATAATAATCGATTTTGAAAATAAGGTCTAATTGAATGTTGTAATGTAATTGATGTGTTGTAATTTATAACAAAATAAACGATACATTGGAATACTATTTATCATTTACTGATTTTAAAACCGTCATCAAAATTTTTTATGGGTTGATCTCTTTTATCTATACTAATATATAAATCTACAGTGGTTTTTACGGATGTTCTGTTATAACTACTGAGCTGTGCATTCGATTGACTTGAAATTTGGTATCCATGTAGAAAATATATGTAATTAAAGGATAGGCTAATATTTATATGAGTGTTGGACTTCCTACACCAGTTGCGGGCGCGTTAATGATGAGAATCTTTGTGGGGGTGAGAAATAATAATGTTAATTTTAAATGGCCAGAGAAGCGGACTGGTACAGCTAGTATTTTATAAATTCAGTCAGTTTTCATATCGCCGTACCCTAAAGGATACTGTGCCCAGTACATTTGTATCGAGCGAATCGATTAATCCGGTGTTCAAATCCCACAAGCAAGCACCAATTTTTTTCTAAGAAAACATCTACTTAATATCTGCATACAAACAAAGCTTAGTATGGTTTCCATCGGTCACCGTCCTCGTCGAACCCGTCGCTTGCGACGAAGGGCTCGACAAGCGAATTAACCCATAGACACAGCCCACTGAATTTCTCGCCGGATCTTCTCAGTTGGTCGCGTTCCCGATCCGGTGGTAGATTCTGCGAAGCACTACTCTTGCTAAGGTCAGTGTTAGCATCACTCCGGTTTGAGCCCCTTGAGCTCACCTACTAGTTAAGGCTACGCTGAAATAGCCTCTTAAGGCTATCAGCCAGAAAGAAAGAAAAAAACGGTTTTATTTATTTTATCTTGAACGATAACCATTTTTTTTAAACGTCGTGTGATGAAAGCCTAACCAATAATGAAAAAAATATGCGTAATTACTTGTGGAAAGCGTTAGAATAGGGGTCGCTATCAAATATGCTTCTGCCGCAAAGAAGCTGTTCGTTTTTGCTTGAAGTGTGGAATAGCCGTTGTACATCTGAGGGTCAGTCAAGTAGCAGTCGTCTGGTCTGTTAGGTCTTCGCTTATCAGTGAATCCTGAAAAAAATATGTGAAAAGGTTATACAAGTTGTAATTTGTTGAAGTCGTCGTGGCCTAAGGGATAAGACGGGTAAGAAGCGATGCAACGGTGTCCGAATCCTAGGCCGAATCAATTTTTCTAATGAAATACTTACTCAATAAACGTTCGCGATTGACTTCCACGGTGAAGGAATAACATCGTGTTATAAAAATCAAACCCGCAAAATTATAATTTGCGTAATTACTGGTGGTAGGACCTCTTGTGAGTCCGCACGGGTAGGTACCACCACCCTGCCTATTTCTGCCGTGAAGCAGTAATGCGTTTCGGTTTGAAGGGTGGAGCAGCCGTTGTAACTATACTTGAGGCCTTAGAGCTCATCTCAAGATAGGTGACGGTGTTTACGTTGTAGATGTCTATGGGCTCCGATAACCACTTAACGCGATCCAGAAGGCCGTTCACCCATCTTCTATACAACCAAAAAAAAAAACTGATTCCGTTGATTACTTAGCAACGTATTAGCCGTGAGCTCGGTCATGCATCTAGTAAAAAAATGTTCTGCACTTAATTGTAGACAAACGTACATACGTATTTAAAATTGAATACTTACCGGAAAATTGGACTCCACTAATAACACAAAAACCTTTTGATAAATTAAGACATAAATAAACCTATGCTATAAGCCGTCAATAAGCTTACAACACCATCAATACAGGTGAAACCTCTATAATTTAACGATTGCGACGAAACCGACGGAGCCAACATGTTAATAACACAACAACGAACAATCTTCGTAAATTGATAAATTCAGACCTGCCACACTGAAAATACCCTGAATTAGATTTAATTACAAGCGGGTATGAACTCTAAAATAGTTGCATTTAGGGTCCATATTTGATGGGTGTTTATGAAAGGTTGTTCCCGCAAGCACCTCATAGACTAGACCATAGAGAATGATGTGAGAGCGAGCTTTCCCTTTGATAGTTGCCCGCCATTTTGAGTTACAGTAATGGCTGGTGTGACGTGAGTAATGGCGTTCTTGTCACTATAGCATAAATAATGTCGGTAGTGCGCATACCGTTAGTGCAGGCTCAAATTAAGATCTAAATAACTAAATTCATTTTACAGATAACCGTTTCCAAAAATTTGGTTGTGTAGGGATACATGTGTACAACTGTAACTGCTCAGTCGACTGATTGAGTATTACATAGTTATTAGTGTTGGTTTTTTAAGTGGGGGCTTTGATTAATATCTGGAATGTTACTGGCGGTAGGGCGTGTTGTGAGTCCACACGAGTAGGTTCCACCAACCCAGCCTATTTCTGCCAAGAAGCTGTAATGCGTTTCTGTTTGAAGAGTGGGACATTCGTTGTTCTATGGAACTGAGGGTTAAGAACTCATATCTCAAGACGGGTGGCACCATTAATGTATTTGATGTCTATGGGCTTCAATAACTACTTAACGCCAGGGGGGCCGTAAACTCGTCGACTACAAAAGCAATAAAAATTAATTAGTCATATTCATAACAAAACGT